TTAATAGGATGGTCTTTAACCTCCAGGTGTTTGAATTCCTACCAAATTTCTTCTTGTGATTGAGTTCAAGTTTCAAAGCATTATGGTCTCAAAATATGTAGGAATAATCCTAATCTTTTTTTTTTAGATTTTATCTATTCATTCATTTTTTTAAATAATAAATTTATTTTTTATTGGTGTTCAATTTGCCAACATACAGAGTAACACCCAGTGCTCATCCCGTCAAGTGCCCCCCTCAGTGCCTGTCACCCAGTCACCCCCACCCCCCGCCCTCCTCCCCTTCTACCACCCCTAGATCGTTTCCCAGAGTTAGGAGTCTTTATGTTCTGTCTCCCTTTCTAGTTTCCTACCGATTTCTTCTCCCTTCCCTTCTATTCCCTTTCACTGTTATTTATATTCCCCAAATGAATGAGATGTTTGTCCTTCTCTGATTGACTTACTTCACTCAGCATAATACCCTCCAGTTCCATCCACGTCGAAGCAAATGGTGGGTATTTGTCGTTTCTAATGGCTGAGTAATATTCCATTGTATACATAAACCGCATCTTCTTTATCCATTCATCTTTCGATGGACACCGAGGCTCCTTCCACAGTTTGGCTATTGTGGACATTGCTGCTAGAAACATCAGGGTGCAGGTGTCCCGGCGTTTCATTGCATCTGCATCTTTGGGGTAAATCCCCAGCAGTGCAATTGCTGGGTCGTAGGGCAGGTCTATTTTTAACTCTTTGAGGAACCTCCACACAGTTTTCCAGAGTGGCTGCACCAGTTCACATTCCCACCAACAGTTCATTCATTGAAGACATAGAGAGAGGCAGAGACACAGGCAGAGGGAGAAGGAGGCTCCATGGAGGAAGCCTGATGTGGGACTCGATCCCAGCACCCTGGGATCACGCCCTGCGCCAAAGACATGCTCAACCGCTGAGCCACGCAGGCGTCCTGGAATAATCCCAATCTTTTGGTATTGGTTGAGACCTGATTTGTGACCCAGTATGGGATCTTCTCTGGCGAGAGTTTTTTTGTGTACTTGAGAAGAATGTATGATCTATTGCTTTGGGGTGGAATGTTCTATATATATCTGTGAAGTCCATCAGGCGCAGTGTGTCATCCAGGGCCCTGTTTCTTTGCTAATCTTCTGCTTAAATGATCTATCATTGCTCTGAGTTGGGTGTTAACGTTACCTTCTATTATTGTATGATTATCAATGTATCTCTTTAATTTGGTTATTAACTGGGTGATATAATTGGCTGCTCCAAAGTTAGGAGCATAAATATTTATAATTGTCAGATCTTCTTGCTGGATAGATCCTTTAAGTATGATATAGTGTTCCTCTTCATCTCTTACTTCAGTCTTTGGTTTAAAATCTAATTTATCTGATATGAGGATTGCTACCCCAGCTTTCTTTTGAGATCCAGAAGCATGATAAATGATTCTCCACCCCCATGCTTTCAGTCTGAAGTTGTCTTCAGGTCTAAAATGAGTGTCTTTGTTTAAAAAATATTTTATTTATTTATTCATGAGAGACACACACAGAGAGAGAGGCAGAGATGCAGGCAGAGGGAGAAGCAGGCTCCATGCAGGGAGCCCGACGCAGGACTCAATCCCAGGACTCCAGGATCACACCCTGGGCTGAAGGCAGGCGCTCAACCGCTGAGCCTCCCAGGCATCCTGAAAATGTGTGTCTTGTAGGCAGCATATGGATGGGTCTTTCTTTTTAATCCAATTTGATACCCTGTGGCTTTTGATGCAATCGTTTAGCTCATTTACACTCAGAGTAACTATTGAAAGATATGAATTTAGTGTCATCGTATTACCTATTCAGTCCCTATTTTTGTGGATTGTTTCTGTTTGCACCCTCTTTCTATTACAGGGACCCCCTTAATATTTATTGCAGAGTCGGTTTGGTGGTCACATATTCTTTCAGTTTCTGTCTATTCCTGGAAGCTCTTTATCATGTGCATAAAGATATGCTCCACCCCTCTCAGGGGAAGGCAGAGGATCTCTATGTTTCTGTCCTTTGCACAGTCCTCACATGGAAAGCTGTCACCCCATGGGACCACTGCTCACAGTTTATGGTGAACTGATCTCAGAGCCCCCTCCCAGACCTAACCAGTTTCCTGGCTCCAATGCTTGGGAACTCTACCAGTTCAGGCACCCCCATTCTTTCTGTGATTCCAGAGATCCTGGGGCCATACTGTTCCGACTAGGATTCTGCCCCATTTCACCACCTGAACATGTTTCAGGCATTGATATCTTTCACTGGAGCCGATATTTAAGGGTCCTTATTTTGCACTTGGGGACTATATCACTTTCCAGGAACCAAGTTACTGACGATCCCCACCCCTTATCCCATTTATCTTCCAATATATCTCTTGGGATTCACTTCTCTGCACCTTCTCCTACTTTGCAGAAAGTGGCCACTTTTCTACTTGTAGAGTTGTAGCAATTCTTTTCTTACATCTCAGTTTGAATTTTGGGTGTTCAGAATGATTTGATAGGTATCTAGATAAGTTCAAGGGACCAGATGAAATGAGGTCCCTCTATTCTTCTGCAATCTTGCCCCTTCCTTGGTTGCCTTTTTCTTTGTTTTTTAAAGATTTTATTTTATTTTTCCATGAGAGACCAGAGAGAGACAGAGACAGAGACAGAGACATAGGAGAGGGAGAAGCAGGCTCCATGCAGGGAGCCTGATGTGGGACTCGATCCTAGGACTCCAGGATCACGCCCTTGGCTGATGGCAGGCACTAAACCACTGACCCACCCAAGGATCCCCCTTGGTTGCCTTTTTTATAATATTTTGCCTAATTACAAAATGGCAGAACATCCTTGTAGAAACTGGAAATACTAGGAGGGCTCATACACATCAAATCTGCCATTTTAGTAGTCAAAAATAATCACTCTTAGGGGCGCCTGAGTGGCTCAGTCAGTTAAGTGTCTGCCTCCAGCTCAGGTCATGATCCCAGGGTCTTGGGATGGAGCCCAGAGTTGGGCTCCTTGCTCAGTGGGATGCCTGCTTTTTCCTCTGTCCCTCCCCTTGCTTGTGCCCTCTCTCTTCTGTCTCTCTTTCAAATAAATAAATAAATAAATAAATAAATAAATAAATAAATAAATAAATAAATAAATAAATCTTAAAAAAAAATCACTCCGTATCTTACTGCATTTTCTTTTAATCTTTTGCTGGTATATACAGATAGACTGTGTATATATTTTGAGAAAAATAAAATGATATTACAAATCATACTTTTAACTCCACATTGTTCATCTAGAAGATGTACAGAGAGTTCATGCTGGGATCTGGCTCCCAGTGGGCTTGTGGGGCCAAGACATGGAGGCTGGAAGATGGCAGGAACCACACAACTGACTTTCCTCACTCTCCTGGAATCACCGGGACTGGATGCTCTAATATGCAAGTATTCTAGCATGTACAAAGGCCTGATTTTGCTTTCTAGATAAACAAGAATGTAGCTGGAATGGTGGCATGTCTCTTCTTTGGCTATGGAGAGAAGCTATACCCCCTCCAGAGATTTAAAAAAAAAAAAGGTTTTTAGAAGTTAATATTGGTTCAACACATGTGAATTACAATTATTTTCAGCTCAGCATGATCAGAAACATGGAGGCATAGTGCCTTGTGACTAGCAGAATGCTCAGTTGCCACTCCACTTCGAAGTAGGCATCTTGGCAAAACAGACAGCTTAGCTAGGTTGTTCCCATTTTAGGGAGAGAGGAAACTAGATAATATCTAAAAAGTTGGGTTGACCTGTCTGCTCCAAAGTTCTGCACTTGTAAGGGTAAGGCTTTTTTATTCAGAGTTCTGTTGACACATGTGACCTCTCATAACTATATGTTCCCCCTCAGGAGATTCCTTTGGCAAGAAAAACCAGTTTTTTGCCAAAGAGAGGAAAACCACATTTTCCTTTCCCCAAGAATATTAATATATATCATCCTAGATGTGAGATCTTTTATACTTACATATATCTGTTGACGTAACCCTGAACTTCAGTGTTCCTTATGTGCTGGGGATTGCAACAGAGGAATGGCGAGGAAAGTTTTTTTTTCAGTTTATCAAGGTATAAATAATAGAACTTCATTTTATTTATGTATAAAAGGCTCATCCTTATCTATGTCACTGGTTCTCAATAAGGGGTGACTTTGCCCTCTAAGGAATACTTGGTGATGTTAGAAGATATTTTTTATTGTCATAATGGGTAGGGGAGAGTCCTATTGGACTGTAATGTTATGAGGGATGCTGTTAAACACTTTACAAGCACAGGACCGCCCCCTACCCCTGGCCCTAATTGTCGATAGTACAAGGTTGAAAAACCATGGTATATGTGGTGATAAGACTGAATGAGTAGATGACTTAATTGTGTCTTGAATTTTCTATATTTATGATGTTTTGACATCTTAAGAAGCTTGTTGGTCATGGAAAAGCCCAAAACTTGCCTTTTCTTAGAGATATCAGAAGGCTTGCTGTAAACATGTCAACCAATCCTAAATCTGGGGTCCCAACCACCAATAAGACTCACCCATGAAGCCATATTTCCCATTTCTTAAATCATCCCAGGGCTAAGTGCCATACAACTATAAACCACGTCTTAGCCCAAAGCCCTCTGGAATTATTCAAACTAGCCAATCCTAAACCGTTTACTCTGCCCTGATTTTTGCTCAGAAACTCCAATAACAGTTCTGGACTAGATTTTCACCATGCTTCTGTCTTTTTTTTTTTTTTTGCTTCTTTCTTTTGCCACTGCGCAAGACCTGGTGCTTCCTCTGTGGCCCTGCATGGTATGCAGTGAACATTTCTCTAGAACTATGAATATAATAAACTTCTTCCAGGTGTTGCTTCCTTTCTTCTCATGGCTGCCCTGACTTTACCATACCATACTGAATATTTTCATTCTTAGAACAGTAATAATGAAAATAATTCAGTCTCCTGTCTTCACATTTGGTATATTTCTACAGAAAGCTAATTTAAAAAATAGTAGAGAAACAATCCACATACTTTCTCAGGGCGCTCCTTCCCTGACGATCTTCCTCCAGTTCCCTGTAACAAGTCTGTTTGCTAATTTCTTTTTCCCAGAAACTTTTGAGCTCATGACAAGTTTCACAGCAAAAGACTTCCCGACGGATATATTGATTGTTCATCCCCTGAAAAATAGAAGAAAAAACAAATCCCAGTTCTTCAGATAAAACCACTCTAATTTTGGAGTGATGAGAGGTGAGTTTATTTATTTCTTCATGAGAGACACACAGAGAGAGACAGAGAGAGAGAGAGTGGCAGAGACACAGGCAGAGGGAGAAGCAGGCTCCATGCAGGGAGCCTGATGTGGGACTCGATCCCAGGACTCCAGGATCTCACCATGGGCACCAAACCGCTGGCACTAAACCGCTGAGCCACCCAGGGGTCCTCCAAAGGTGAGTTTAAATCCAGCCCCTGCCATTTACACTTTTTGTGGTTGTAGACAGATTTCACGATCACCATGATTTTGTTTCCTCAATTGCAAATGGGAATATAACGATTGTCAGAAAGTGTAAAAAAAATTGAAATGAAAAAAATTTTAAAGGGTGCTAATAACCCCTACAGATGATCTGATGTTATTGTCTTCAAGCTGCTTTACAACTCTGAAATAATAGAAAGAATATAGTAATGCAAATGATTCTTGAACATAGAGATTCAAATAAATTTTGTCTAGGGGAATGCAATTGATAGCTGTGTGGATACCAAGCAATTTAAAATACTTCTAAATTCACTTCAATATTCTTGATAGACTACATATGTGTTTTTAATTTTTTAAATTACTTGTAATATCTTACCAGTTTTCTCATTAATAAGTTAAATAAAATATTTGACTCATGTTCATTTTATATTTGCGTGATAGTTATGATTTTAACTTAAAGAAATGATTCTTAACAGTTATGTCACAGTTGTGTGTATATGTACACAAAGTGAAATATACATGCAGAAGCTCTAAACACAGTATATGGCAAGTAGATAATCGAGAGATGTTATGCTCTTTCTGTCTTTCCTCACAGAGTAACAATAACCTCTACCATTTATTGAGCCCATAATATGTGATAGGCTTTCTATACACACTTACATTTGATCCTTCCTACAACTCTGGGAGCTGGGTGATTCTACACTCATTGTTCAGATGAGGAAACTGAGAAATAGAATTTGCCTATGTCCTCATAACTGAACACAAAGTGGTGGGAATTTGAACCTAGGTCTGTCCATTTTCAAGGTGGATACTTTTGGCCCTGGGATTCTCATCACAAGAAATGGTTGGCATACCTGGAAACGGTCACATCCAGAACAAGCTTGTGTGACGTGTATGTGTGTCCCATGAAAGTGCACATGTTTAATACTCAAAAATATTTACTTATGTGAATATTTCCCATTTTCCAGATCTTAGTGGCTTTAACAAGCAGGCAGATGCAAAGGACAGCAGAAAAGATCCTTTCCTGTCTGCTGGTAAGTACCTGTTCAGAGAAGGGCTTTGGCCCTGGCTGGAGGTTGGGAAGAACCTGGACCTTACTGTTTTGCTATTGTTTTTGATATCTTGAAATATGTAATAGGTTCTTAGTTATTCTTCATTAAATTAAATTAAATGACACTTGTCAAGTTAAATTTTTTCTAAAAAGACCTGGCCTGGGATTGCCAAAGGCCTCAGATGCTGACAGATGGTCTGGAGGGTGACTTTTGCACTTTCTGAGTAGGGGGTGTGCTCAAGGCCCTCTGTAGTCTCAGGAAGCCTCTCTGGGTTTTCTCAAAGCCCCACTTGAGTTCTGAAGCTCTAGCTTGGAGCTAGCACATACTCCATCTTCTAAGAGTGTATTTCCCACTTATTTTCTCCCCCAGGCTAATAAATTTAGTGCAAAGAATTCTAATAAATTCTTAGTCATTCAATATTAAGAGAGTTGTTAAAAATATATACCAGCATTCATAGAACTAGAGTTTAGGTGTGCTCCTCTGTAGCAGTTAGGTTTCCTATGGATTTGTTTGAAGCTGCAGAAGTGTCTGAAGTTTTCTCATTTTCCTCATGTGACTCTGCCTGTATAAACGTTTGATAAGAAAATAGTCCTTGCTTTGAACAGACAAACTTGCAAACTTGTAACTTAAGTAGAGCAAAAGTAATGCAGTACTTATTCATGTGTTCCTTTATTACAAAATGCTCCTAAACATTTCAAGTTGAGTATGAATTTCAAGTTCATATTAGGTATTCCATATTCAGAGAAAGGACAGTTTAGTCAAATAAGTGCTCACTGGAATTATTTTCTTTTCTTGAAATTTATAATTAACATTTTTCTAAAAAAGTTATCAAAAAAAAAAAAAAGAAGCCTATGCAGGCACCCAGACTACTCATATAATCACGTCATTTCACATTCATTCTATTTGGGAAAAAGATATGGAAGGAAGATTTAGTCTACAAGGCTCTGTAGCTACATAATTATGAGCTACTTTAAGAGAAATAGCTGAAAGCAGGGTGGTGTCCATACACTGAAAGAGTAAATTAAATCAAGGTGAGCCCAAAGGAAATCAAGCAGAAGGCTCTGGAGAATCTGATACATGCTGGTTCCATCTCCTGTTCCCTTTGGATCAGGAGGCATTTCTGGGGCTGTGACCTTTGGGAGGACTTAAGGCGGAGTCGTGAATTTAGATACCTCAGTGCCCAGGTAGGTGTCATATAGGAGCGAAGCTACAGGACCCAAGTGACAGAGAGTGGTGGGCACTGGGATCATCTGTAGAGACACTTTATTCAAGAAGGAGTTGAAAACTGTGCTGGCCAAAAGGAAACATGACTTTCATATGGATGCAGTTTAAGGGTTCCCTCATTGCCCTTCTTAAGAGATGAATTTTCTACCTGCAGCTTTGGCCCTATGTTTTTTTTTTGTTTTGTTTTGTTTTGTTTTGTTTTTTGTTTTTTGTTTTTTAGCTTTTCTCAAATCTCTTCCCTGTGCTTTCTCTACAGGGCAACCTGAACTGTTTCACTTTCTCTCTGCTCGCTTCCTTCTGCTGAGCTTCTCTTTGTAGCCCCTTTCCTGCCTCTCTACCTGAGGATGGGATACCACCCTTGTTGGTCAGTCTTTCTTTTGCCATTATCCCTGAAGCAACTAGGATTGGAACTCTTCATCAGGTCTCACCTCATCCACTACAGGATGTGTGAAAACAACTATCCCAACTGCCAACCACAACTACAGTCCCACAGGGACTGTCACTCACCAGGACTAGAGGGTATGCCCTGACAGACAGGATGGCCCGGGAATTGAGGAGGGCAGAGGATTGTTGTCACTATTGTGACTTTGGACAATAAGCCCTTTATGTGCTCTGACCCCCAGTTTTATTATCTATAAAGTGGAGATGAAACGTAGTAATAAAGACAAAAGTTCCAAATACATTGCCTTTTATTCCCTAAATGTTCATCTACCAACCTAGAACATGCTTGCCCTGAGGGAGTTCACAATCTGTTGTCCTATCCCTGGTTGAGAGATTTGAACCACCACCTAAGTAAGTTCTTGTCTTTAGTTTATGCATGACTTTAAATACTTTGTTCCTTATTGACTCAACATGTAATTAAGGTTTATTCATTTCTGTTGCTGGGCTGTCAGAATTAGATAGCTTTAGATCTCAGGGATAAGATGCTTCCCTTCTTGTCCAAGGTCCAGTGTTGGAAAGCATACAGAGAAGCCTTTAGCAGAAGCTCTTGGTGATGAGTTTCACTCTTACATCATTTATGATGTTATATTTGGGGATCTTTGTAGTCAGATCTTATAATCACATTGACTGAAGGACACCTAACATGCTTAAGAATGTCAAAATAAGGCAGGAAACAGAAAATAAAAAGAATACAGTTTTCCCTGGGCGTACTGATGGGAAACCTAAGCATGGACTGGTCTAGGTGGAGAAAACCACCAACTATATGTTCTGTGGATATGGTTCTGCCCCAATAGATGTTCCAATGGGAGTGAAAAGGTATCACTTTCTCAAATCGTTCTGAATAGGACCAGAAAGAAGAAAGCTGGTGTGATCTCCTGTGGGACAGATCAGTGGTGCTTTTATAGTCACAAAATAGAAATACTAAGGAATGTGCAGATACATAAATCCATCAGGTACCTGAAATCTCTTGAGTCACATTTAAAGATTTTGAGATTGAGTTTCTTTTTTTTGTAAATTTTATTTTATTGGTGTTCAATTTGCCAACATATAGAATAACACCAAGTGCTCATCCCATCAAGTGCCCCCCTTGAGATTAAGTTTCTATTTTGTACTGAGGAAATTTTCAAACTCAAGTGTCTTTATTCTGTTCTTGTGCAAGTGAATTTTCTACAAACCCAAGTTTAGATCTTTACATTCATCTTTTCTACAATTCAGTTTGCTGCTTTCTTCTCATGGTATGGGCAGATTGGAAAAGAATAGACTGGGATGCCTCGGTGGCTCAGCAGTTGAGCATCTGCTCAAGGTGTGATCCCAGGATTGAATCCCACATCATGCTCCCTGCATGGAGCCTGCTTCTCCCTCTGCCTGTGTCTCTGCCTCTCTCTCTCTCTGTGTGTGTGTGTCTCTCATGAATAAATAAATAAAACTTTTTAAAAAAGGAGAGGAATAGACCTCTCAAGTGAGTGCATGTGCTTATTTTTGGTTCCCTCTAATCCTGAGATTCTCTAAGAATATAGGATAACTTATTTTTCTTGATACCCAGAGAGCTTTGTTGTCCTTCACTCCCAATGGTTCAAAACTCAGGAGCAGAAAAGTTAAATTGCTCTAGTGACCAGAAGTTTACCATAAATGAGTTATTCAGGTTTGTTTCACAATCAACACTTAGAAATAGTATCTGCTTCTCCTCCTTTAAAAATATATGTCAGAGTCACTGTTCTTATCTTTTTTGTATCCTACTTTGATTTAAAAAACACAAGTACAGTGATACATTTCTCTTCTTTAAGATAGATACTAGGGTATTGGCAATGGATACTCCGCCTTGGTGGGACAATAAAGAAAAGTGAGTCCATAGATGGAGCAGGACTCCCTCAACCAATGGGCCAGTAAAACTTGATGCCACACATTCACCACCTGGTTAGTGGGCTGCTAGTCTATGATTTGTGGCTTAGTTTTATACCCTTTATTGAGTTCTTACTGAATACCCTTCACTCTTCAAAGGGCTTTACATCTTGCATTCAGTTGTCACGTTATTCTTATCCACATTTGACAGAAGAGGTGCAAAGAGGCAAGCCATTGCCCAAGGTCACTGTTGCCCAA